GGCAACACCAACAACAGCAACAAAACAACCTCGCCGACGACAGCAACATGGCGCACAACAAGCAATAAAAATGGCATAAAATTCAAAATGAAAGCTAAACGCTGCTTCCCCGACTTCCACAGCCATATATATATATATATTTGGCCCTCATTCCCCTCATTTCCCGATCTGCTGTGAGCTGCATAAAAATAAGTAATATCGTAAAAATTACAGGAAATAAAAATCGCAACGTAAATACGTGTAAGTGCGAGAGTCGGCCAACTTTCCCAGTTGCTGAAATTGGCAGAAAAATTATGACAAAAGAAGGAGAAAGATATGACCAGCAAAAACGAGCGAACGAGCGAGAGCAAAAATGTAACAGCCTTTTTGGGGGAAGTGGAAAACCCATTAAAGTTCAAGTTGGACATTACATGGCCATATTCTGGGCAAATGTTTTGGAAAATAAATAATTCCCAGTTGCCATAAATGTGTTTTCGGGGGTGGTTGGGTTGGCATAACGGACCGTCCTCGACCTCGCCGATAAAAACAAATGAGATAACTTTTCCAAGCAACTCGAGCAGAATACACAAGTTCAGCGAGCCGGCAAAATGGCAGATATGAAAGCGTTTTCTAATCTTTCTTCAAGCGTAATCCTGCAATTAGTGAACCTGTCTCAGCGCAATTCAACTCAATTACAATAATCATGTACTCTCGTATTTCTGACGCATTTCCCAACGAAGTGCACAGAAAAAATGTACTCTTGGCATTTGTTGTTAGATATAAGGAAAAATGTTTTTCAAAATTGTTGAATATGACTTTTAAAAGTTTGAAAGAGATAAACTTATATATTCAAATTTTTTCAATTTTTGTAATTCATTTAATAAGTAAACTTAAGAGTGGTAAAAAAAAACTACAATATTTGCGAGACCCAGTTTATATACCCGTACAGCTCCAACAAAAATTAAGTTTTCTTCAAAACCAAAACCCTTTTTGTTTTTCTGAGTATATGTTTAAAAACAATAAGGCGATGATCGTTTCTATGACAGCTACATATTTTTATTGTCAGATTTTTATAAAAATAACACCGTAATCCTAATACATTTAGTAAGCTGTTACTATATCTTAGCATATACTTCATTTTCCGATAGTTCCTATGTGAGATATATCTATCTATGGAAAAAAGACATTTGGGAAAGTTTCATTCAGATAGCTTTAAAACTGGAACGGACGGTTAAAAAGCCGGAAAGACAGACGGACGGACAGACGGAAATCGCTTAGCCGAATCGCCTATTGATGCTGATCAAGAATATGTATGCTTTATAGGGTCGATAATGTCTTCTTCACTGCGTTTAAAATTTGAATAAAATTATAATACTCTCTGAATGGGTATACAATTAGACTACATGATGTCCGCTAAGAAATATTTCGAAAAGTGAAACCATATTAAAAGGGGCAGTATATACTTTGAACATTTTAAAAGTCTTAATATTTTAAGCTTTATTCGTAGTAACAAATATTGTTAATTGGGGCTTTTTTATTGAAATATGAAATTTTAATAAAAATTGGTAACCCAAACGAGGGTTATATATATTTTATTGTATTTTTTTTTATTGAGCCCTATTTAGAAATACCATCCAACCCAATAACTTGCGCCCCTTTAAATTTTAAAACCTAAACTGGTTCGACAACAATGAAACGAATAGCGCCAGTCTGTGGATTAACAAGCTGAACAACAACTGCAACACAACTCGGCATGTATATTTCCTCTGGAACAAGTACATCTGCAACATCAGCAACTGCAATTACCGAGTGTGTGTAAGGCATAATCATTTCAAACGGCAAATTATGACAATGAGGAGGGGTATGTAAAACAACAATTGGCTCTGCAATTGCAACAACAACTACTGCACCGACATAAGCGTACAACAGGCAAATGAAATGAGCTTTTAATCAATTTCCGGTATTAAAGTCTAGCCAAACCAACCAACCAAACAATACAGCAGCCATCCGAACATTCAACCAACCATTCCACAGTTGTCTGCCTCATTGTTGATCCTGCTGGCCGTTATTGTTGTTGGATTTAATTAACAAACAATTTATATTCATAAACCTCAATCGGTCACATGCAAATGCACATTCGACTTTGATGCAGAGAGAGCACAACAAAAATATTAGGTGGGAAATCATTTCGAACCGTTTCCATATGACTGGAATAGATACTCTGCATGGATGGAGTTGAAAATAAAAAACTCATCTGACTGTAATTTTAGTTAATTGTTAGTGGGTAAAGTAAAAATAATACTTTAAAAAATTTGATACGATTTAAATTTTAATTGAACAAATGCCTAAAAAAACTATGTCAGATCATAGTCGGATTGTAGATAAATGTATTGACAATATTAGAATTGATGTCTCAATATTTTTAAAGCTTTCAAATTGTTACTGCTGACTATTATTATTTGCTTATGAATATACGCATAATTAACCAGAATTTTGGTTTATATAATGACGAACAAAATAATCTACCCTTAAGGCAGCGTGCTCAAATTATATTTCGCAACGTGAAGGTAATAAATATGGCAAATGCGTGGCATGGCAAGAAAAAAACATGTGCATGCTTACAATCATAAAAACATATATAAGCTCACACACCCGCATGTCTATGCATTTCTTGGGCACTAGTGTAACTTGGGCTTTTGTGTAACGAAACGTGTTAGCGGAAAAGAGCATTCGCCGCAACAAAGGCTTCCAGTGAGCTGCAACAATATGAAAGCTGATTGGGGCGCCCCGTTTTCAGATTTTATATTTCAGTTTTGATGCTGCCACGTGTGCCAATACAAACACACTCGAAAACACACGCGTTTGGGTTGCACACGCAGTGTATTCTGGCCTCAATTGGACTTGCTGGGCAAGCGATGTGTATATGCACAGCAAAAAACAATTAGTTATTAGTTAAAAACAATTTGCACTGTTTATCTTTTAAATTCCAAATGAAATAAAAGAAGTTTCTGGCACACATGGCCATTGGTTTCGTTTGAAAGATAGTATTGATGACAATATAAAACTGTTATTTTTAATGATTTTCTCCATGTGTAGTTAGAATTAACATGTCCTGACACCCAATTAAACCCTAGCATGTACAAGAGCGAAACGTCGCTTGGTGGGAGCGGTATCTACCAGCTTAGCAAATCATTAATTAAACCTGGCCAAGTACAGAAACCAGACGAACGCACGAAAAATTATTATAATGAACACGCATGGGGAAATGAGCGCAAAAAGCTTTGCGGGAAGTCGCCCCTCCTTTTTCGCCTGCCCCCCAAACTAATTAGCATGCTGAAATGTGTTTGGCTGCAAACACCATTCAGAGGTCACAGCGAGGTCCAAGTCACATTTGGCGTAGATAAACGAGGCGGGGGTGGAGTCGAGCGGGAAAACACATTAGTTGCAGCAACAAGGGCAAGAAACATTAAGACAAAAGGTCAAAGCGGTGTGGAAAACAAACTGTCTTTACCAAGAAAAGCTGAAGAATGGGAATAACATTAATGCCAATCAAGCACATTAGTGTTTTCTACGTATGGCATACACATTTTTGAAGAACGTGGTTTTTAAGGCTTAAAATGAAATATTAAAAAATAACTATAAAATTTAAATAAGGGGCTTACAGCCACCGAGCAGGTAATTGACTTCACATTTTGCAACAGAAAATGGTTATGGGCATAACTTCTTGTGTCGTATTTACATCTCAGCTGTTAAGTGTGTCAGTGGAAAATATAAATGGTGATTATGAACGTCCGGTAACGTAAAGTACTCACCGAGTGGAAAGCAGAAAAATGCCCACATTGTATGGCTGCAAATTGCACGAGAACAAATATAAATATGAGTACTTATACATCGTGCTCTGCGGCAGATTCAGTCTAACCACAAACTCATTACGACCCATTCTCTTCGGCCCCCACTCTTCTGCTTTAATGACAGACGAATATTTTGTATAATATAGACATTTTCAACGGCCCCGACTTGGCCAAGTTGAAGAACCGAGGAGGAGACAAAACCAAGCCAGCTGAAAAGCGACCAGCGACCTGGCACAAAACCACAAAAACTTGCCTTTGGTTATTTTGTGTCTGGCATTGTCATTGCGGCTGATGTTGCTGCCGTCGTAGCTGTTGCTGTTGCTGATGTTGCCGATGTTGCTGCTGTCATGGCTCTTGTGCTGGCCAAAACGTGCAATTAAATGCTGTATAGAAGCAGCCGCTGCCATAAGCCGTGTTCTCTACACAGCGAATAACTACTACAAGAGCTGGCAATTAATAGAAAAATTCGTAGAAATGGATCATCAGCCGAAGTTGTTTTTATATTATGCACCATGCACTTAGAGATAACAAGTATTTTGTTACAGACCATGTATGCTGCTCGCAGAATGAAGGGTCTCAGACCCTCTGAAGAGTAATTATTTACATCTACCCTTGTCCGTCTGCGCGCGTATCTGTCTGTCCATGAGAACATCAATGCCTTTCAACAGTTTCGGTGAAATCCGTTCTAAGAACAAAAGGGAACTCGTCCTTCACCAAGCCAATGCGACCTCTTGTGGAGCGGCTTAAACAAATAAATGTAGGGTTAGCCACCATAAAGTCCTGATTTCGCATACGGCGACTTATTTTTCCCCTCTCACAGTATGTACACAAAAAAAGTGTTATAGTAGGGCACTTTTAATTCGATTCAAAATCCAAAACTTTATAACTTTTTTCAATCTGATCCGCTTTGAAAAATTGTAAAAAATTAAATAAATATTTTTGATTCAAAATTCATGATCCAAATTTGTATACGGACAAAGATATCTGGATATATTGGATTCATTCTACCCGTTATATACTTTTCAAGGAAAATTATGTAATTATATATATATACATTAATCCCACGAGTAAGGACTATTTATACTACCTGTCCTTACTAATCTGGACGAAATCACAATCACAAGAGTTCTGTTTATTATAAAGACTATTTACAAAGAACAATGAAAGAAGTTAGCTTCAGAAAGCATACATTTATGTATATTGCAGCTATTACAAAAATTAAATATTCTTTAAAACAACAAAATTTCGATTTTTGTGCCTATATGTTGTGCTCTGATATTTTCCACCAAATGATTTGACTGTTGCTATGGCCGCTATATGACAACGTTGTCTGATTCTGAAAAAAATGAAAAAAAAAACAAAGTTATCATATGTGTTAATTTTTCAATATTATGCTGTACTGGTTATTATATTTTTACAAAAAATTTAAATCTGTAAATAAATATCAATTGACATATTAAAATATTTGTTTTTATTCATATCATTTGTTTCTCTCTCTGCAGTGCGGTGTAAGCCAACTTATTGGCAGTTGCTTGCCAAATGCAATGAATGAAAATTGCACAAAAAGCGAGGCAAAGGCCAGAACACAATTACAGCCAGCGGAGGCATTCACCAGGCAAATTATTGATTGGCAACCGCAGAGATGCATTCGGTTTCCGCCGAGAGATAGAGATACAAATGCAGAAGATGCTGAATCCGTCGGGCCTCGCTAATGATGATGACGCTGGCTACTGGCCACTGGCCAGGGCTACTCACTCTCTTTTGGCCGCCATTGACATTGAAATCTGGCAATTTGCAATCATTGCAATTAGTTTTTATTGCTTGGCTGAACCAAACGCCTCGCGAATCGTCGCGGGCATTTTCGTACAAATTACTGCTAAGGATCGGAGTGCGAGGAATTTCCGGGGAAATCATCGGGTAATGACAAACGATGGCAGCCTGCATAAATTTCGAATTGCGCCTTTCTCGGACCCCGAGAGTGCGAATCGCAAATTGCAAATAGCTAAATAGCTAATTGCCAGCCGATTATTTATAGCTGTGCATTTTTAAAGTTCAAATTTGCGATTTGTCGGAAGTAATTTGCCCGTTTAGTGCGTCTATAAATAGCACACGCTACATTGGCGTCCCCATCAAAGGGGCAAGGTGCTTGTGTGTGGATGGGTTTCTGTGCCCCCGATCCCGCCTTTATATGATGGCGGACTGTCATTCGCCCCCCAAGTGGGTCACATCGTCATCGCCGGAGAGAAGCCTTGCTCCACATTCGTTGCCCACTGAATATTCTCGCTTCCGCTAATCTCGGGGCAAACTGCGGCAAGGCGAACACACACAAATGCAGTGGCATAGCGGGCATGAATGCGGCATAAGTAGCTGGCGGTCTGTTTGCGGTTAACACCCAAGGCAAACGGATGCACTTACAAAAAAACACTAGCTAAAACTACAAATTATGGTATAGAATAGTGCAGCTAAACAAAAACAAAACGTACGCTTATTTTGTTTAATACATTTTCACTTATGAGTAAATTCCTTGCATTGTTTTATGCCTACATTAATGGCAGTTATTTTATCACAAACAGCTTTAAATAGCTTAACGACTTTCGAAATTGTAGTCTTTAGTCACACTGCAATAATCTTGATATTCACTTAAGTATAGGACAGGAACATTATAAAAACAGGAATATATATTTAAAATCAAAACAATGTAACAATGTAATAATGTAGCAAAAATACTGTTGTCAATACCGGTTTTTGTTTAATTCAAGCGTGCTTTTGCCATATTTATTGCTAGTGTAAAAGCGAGAGTAAATCTTCGTCTAAAATTATTACCATGCCTACGAGCGGTCTTTTCAGTTTTCCAGCCGAATTCAGGCAAAAGCCAACAGCATTGATAATAAACAGGTTTATGTTGATTGCTTCCCTTGCTTTTTTCACCTTTTGCCGCTTTTTGAGAGTCTTTGGAGTGTTTGTGCGTAGGCAACAGTGCTTGTCCCCGGCCAAGTTCCATTCCCAATCCCTGTCACATTAATCACGGCAACATTTGCCATGCAATTAAGCAAATGAAGCCTGCATTTAAGTGCTGACAATGATGATGATGATGATGGGGACTTCGACTTGGACCCGAACTGGGAATGGAAATGGAACTGTGGCTGGGAGTGGGAAACTCGGCGAAATCATTAGGCTAATGTGGTTAGTTGAACATCGATAAGTGAGTGTGCCCCATGGGCAAGCATTTGGCGATGTGACTCCACTTAATGCGCATTTAATACCCCTTCGAGTCATTAGAAATTCAATCGAGTCGCTCAAAATAATTGACCCCCCCCTTGGATTCGATTCGCGACAGTCGTTTCTGGCTATTCATCAAACCCGAATCACAATCGAAATGCAATTTGCTGATTTTTGTGATGGCAAATTGAAAAACACACACGTAAAAAGAATTGACGCAGGCCGCAATTCAATCATTCAACGTCGACGTGGCCTTTTTCGTCTGTTTGTTTTATTGGCCGAACACCCGGACGCCGATAAATCCCGCCAACAACCGTAAACAGCCGGTAAACGACGAAAAGGAAAAGAAAATGTCAAAGGCATTCCGCCATAATTAAATTGTAAAATAAATATTACACCAAGTTGTTGCTTTCTTTGCGCAACAACGGAGGTGAATTTCGGATTTAAAACACAAATCGCTGAAATTCGAGTGTGTGTGCGCGATCATGTGAGTGCAACGAAATATTGCGCATACGCCACGTCGCATGGCTAAATATAATGTAATTAAAAAGCAAGCATATGACTTATTTTCTTTGCCAGCATACCTTTGATGCTGATGAATTAGAGAAAAAAACTAGAAGACTGAAGTCTTCGTATAAACTTTATATGTATTTTATAGCTTCCATTAAAAAAATGCTTAACATTATAAAAATCTTTGAAACTGAAAATCTTTTTATTGGTATACAATTTATTAAACTTACGAAACTGTGCAATACCGAAAAGTCAGGTTACAAATTTGCATTCTGTGACATAAAATAATTGTTGCCTACATTTTAAATTAAAAATAGTAAAGAAATATTTTTAAGCAACTACTGCAGCATTTTCGGCATTTTCCGTTCTGTAATAATTGCTCACTTTTCCGGCACCCCTTAACCCAACGTGTGCCACTCGTGACCGAAGGACCCCCAAACTGCCTTTCTGTTTTGTTTGCCAATCACGAGTCGCAAACATGATTTATTTCGTCAATTTATGCCAAAAGTGTAAAACGATTTTCAACCGTGCGCCAAATGAAATATTATGACGTGCACTATCATTTACATGTGTTTTACAGCCCCCGGTGAGGGAGTGTGTGTGTGCGTGAGTGGGCGTGGCACTGCGTTTAGGAATGCGACAGTTGAATGAGTTTGTCTCTCTCCCCCACTCGCCATCCGTCTCTTTCGCTCTATTTGCATGTGCTGGCATTTGCAATTTAGCAAAAAGGGAAATTACATTTAAATTGAATTGTAAACCGAATAAATTGAGGGGTTTTGGGTATAGAATTGGCAGGGGGTTTCTGCGCATTCGATTTGGCCAGAAATTCACGATTACGATTGAACGCAATTGGAATTCCACTCTTTCTGCGGGCTGCTGTCTGTATAATTTACCATATATTTGGAAAGTTATCAGTCGTCACGCAAGACTTACTAAACTTCAGGCTTTTACCCAAAAATAAAAACGACTGACAGACTTTCAGTCAATTAATTTTGCGTTTTCCCAAAGGAATTATAAATTTCCTTTTAAGTTTTCGCACAACAAAAGGATGAAAAATTAAGAAAAAAATGCTGTACACTTTTATTTAATATTTGCAATCAGTTTATGGAAAACTCAATAAACTTTTGATTTTTGTATTTTTATTATTTTTATTAAATGTTCATTGATTTTATAAAGCATTTAAATGTATTGACGATTGTTCGAGACATAATTAAATTATACAGCAAAAGACATTTACCATTACATTTTTGTATTGATTTAAGTTTGTGTGCGGTTTGTGGCAGACAATGCAGTAATTTTATTTAATATGACCACATTAAGTCTAGTTCACGAATAAAACTCAAATTTTAATTTATTTAGCATATGGCATATTCCACACAAAGCCAAGGGAAAACCAAACACAAAATAAAACCCGTATTTGTATTGCAACATCGGTAATTTTGAGGGGGAATTCGGTGAAACCGAGAGAAATAAAACATTTCTATTTAATCTCGTTGCTTTTGAGCTGGGGTGAGGCTACCATGCCGTGGGCTTTTTTAGGGAAACGGAAAATGCAAATACCAAGCGGATTGCACAACCGCAAAATGCCGACTAATTAAATTAATAGGAAACAAATGCATAATGAGAGCAAGCGACCCCAGACCAATCAGTCTGTATCTGCAGAGTCAATTAATGTTGTCCGAACTGATGGTGATTTAGGTGCAATTAAAGTGCAAATTCTCAAATATTTTTCTGCTGAGACGCCGCTCCAATGCGATATGCAAATTAAGCAAACGCCAACTAAGCTATCTATGGCCAACTACAGATACAGATACCCGTATCCACGAGACACCAGATACCGAATACCAGATACCATATACCAGAAGCCAGACATTGCAATAGCAAAGCCATGGTAACAACTTTTATCGCATGTGCAATTTTCTTGGCCCACGAAGCCAACGACGATAAATGCAAATCTTGACAGTTTTCTTTGAAACATTTTTATTTATTTTCGGTTGCAGTTTTTCTGCCTGTGCTTTTCTTCTCCTCGCTCTCTTGGCTTTATTTTCATTGTCTGCTCGTCTGGGCTTGCTTTGGTTTTGGCCATTCGGAAAGCACGTTTCGTGCTCGCACATCCGCTGGCAGTTGTGGATGCAGTTGCAGTCGCCGTACTAAAAGATACAAATGAATCTTGCACAAAGAAGAATTGATTCCCCTTACCCTCATCGGGAATAGACCCTGCCAAGATTGTCGCAATTGCCATGACGACAATACTCGCATCGATTTTGCCCTAATACCTTAAAACCAGCACATAGCTGGCTTAAACGGAAAAGCTTTCAATTCTCAAGATAAATTCGTTTAAAAGCCTCTGGACGCTTGAGTTACATAACCAATTTCAAATTTTTAAGCTCTGAAAATATATCAATTGAAAAGGTATAAATTTGAAATTCTAGTTTCTAAAAAAGAAAGAGCTTTATTCAGGTCTTTTGACCTGCATAGTCAGAAAAATAAGATAATAATGTGATAAGCTCCTAGTGGTAACATGCGGTCTTGTTTGTAGTTGATTTTCTTATTAAATGCCGAAAATACGACAATGTCATTAGGAAAACATTAACCAAAAAGAAAAAAAAACTTCGTTGTTATTAAACTCACAAATACTATTTCAGCTTTTTATTAACTAGATGATTTTATCATGTAGTTGCCATTGAAAATTTAAGTACCTAGTATTTCCAGATACATTTTTAAATCTCAAGATATAGGTGATGTTTACGTTTTCCAAATTTTATTAATAAAGTTTTTTAAAATCTCCGTGAACTACTACTTTAATTTCCAGGTTTTGCTTCCTTTCTTGTTTTACGTTAAATTTAGCTTATATATTTTTGTGTAAGCTGCTGGGTCTTTTTTCTTTTATCATACGGTTCTGGAAATTTTTTTAAAATAAATCTTCGAAGAATTTTTCCCCACAAAACTATCTTTGAAAAAAATAGTGTTTTTAAAGCATATTTTTAATCACCGAATAAGTAGTATAATTCTGTTATATTGTTCAAGTTTTATTGGTCATATTTCAACATATTTGGTCTTCTGTAGGCTC